TCTCAAGAAGGCAGTGCTGTGTCGAGCTTGGTAGCGAGAGGCCGGAGAAAGTCATTAGGAGAGTTGTTTGCAGTTGCTTTCTCTCTTTTATTTTTGAATATACAATACACGCATATACTCCTCACTGTTCAACCAACCCGTCTCTTTGTACAATCCCATTTCTATACCAAATATGGATCCCACAGTATCATCTTTAGAGCTCCCCGTTTCACAGTCTCGAACACCAGCAAAAGATACGCGAAACGAGAAACGATTACCTGACAATAATTATATATAAATTAAAAGAAAACCAACGAACGTTTAATTCGAAAAGTGTAGAAACCCCCTTCAACAGGGTTAACGCGAAGTAAGTCATAATAAAAACGGGGGAAAAATATCATTTTTGAGGGAAAAGCGACCGATCCGACCTGCTACAGCAACGTTGAAAACGCTTCGATCTCTGCGAATAAACTGGAATGACGGATTGAAACGGAGGAGCGCGTTTCCCGTTGATGGAAAAATGGCGTACCTTGGCGGATGCAAAGAAAATTTCGAAAACTTTTATTTCCTACGATGCACGCGGATGTGCAGGATTTAGCCCGCGATCCAACAACGCTTCCTTTCAAACCTATCAGTCGGAATGGAATCTTTCAGTGCGTTCCGCGCAGTTCCGCACGATGCATTGCCGGCGATTAAATAATTCCGGGAAGATGGAATTTCCATTTTTCCCCAGCCGAGGAAAATTTCAGTCCGCTGACACTGCGACTGCGAGATCGCTCGCGATGCACTCGGATTTTTCCTTTTTTCTACATTTTCCCACAAAATTCACCCTTTGCGCTTCTCTCGTCGCAGAAAAATACCGGTCCACGGCTTTTCCGAAGCTACAGATGTTTTTCAAAATGGCGGACAAGAACTCTCGCGTAAATTAACGCGTATTATTATTGCGTTTCGCTGTCTCGCGCGTTTTTATTCGAAATTTAATGTAACAATTAATATCGATGTTTAGAGTTTCATTAAATGGCGCCTCCCCAGTGAGGAAGAAGAGGTAGAAATTTAATTATACGTACCTGTTTATTTTCATCGTGTCTCTTTAATTATTTTTCACCAGTACTATGTTCGCAATGAATCGCAGAAACATTCGCATTAACCCAGTCCCGGATTTTTAAAAAATTGGGATACAATTTTCACCGTATTTATCAGTGGAAATAAGTACGCAGAGATTAAAGTAAATTCTCGCGGATTAGTATCTTAAATACACGTATGCATTTCAAAATTGTCACGCGTCCGTGTCAGTTATATCTATTTTCTTATTCGAGGGAATAAACTTTTTGAAGCTCGTGTTATAAAAATTAGAATTCGTTTAAAGCAGACTATTGGGGAAGCACAGATGCTTCTGCGATTCACTGCAAGCTCAATGAGCCATCGCAAGCCCTATAACAATACCTATACTACTTATATCTATACTACTCGCGTAATACCTCAAAAAATTAAGAAACAACCATACCACACACAAACAAAAGCACACCGATATCCAGCGAAAGAAGGGAAACCTGATTTTGCTATTTATTCGGCTACTTGCACCCAAAACTTTTCCGCCACCCGTTAGAACAAGGACCCGAAATACAAGGATAAACCGAAGCGTCCTAGACAGCCAAGAGCAAACGTTTTACCCAAAGGTTTACAGTTTACAGTTTCTATGACAGCCCTCTCTCTCTCTCTCTGCCAGTGCCAAACACAGAGTGGTGAAGACAGTTGAAAGAGTCTCCACGCGAGGTTGCGTTTACTGCATGAACACCGAACCTAGCATGACCAAACTGGTCAAACGATCGGTAGCTGGAAAGCTTCGAAGAAAATGGAATAAATTAAGATATTGGAAAATTGATAGTACTCGTATCAAAGGAAAAATCTAGAAGTCAAATGACCAGAGAGACATAACGTTGAATGCAGAATTTCTGATGAAATATCTGAAAATTTATGCAGGTTGTGGTAGGTTCAGTGTTAAGCTCTCTCCATGCCTATAACTGCATTTGCAACGAAATTGTTACGAATCGTATTTATAAAATTACGTCGATCGTCACAGATCCGATGTTTAAGTGATAGAGGTCAACCATATAGTCGGAGAGACGCCTGGGATCAGACCTGTCCACCCGAGGCCGGGTTCCGGGCGGGCGAAATCAGCGCCGATTAAGGCTGGACTATTAAACGGAAAAAGTTGCGGGCCGGGCGGAAACGTAATTTGCAAACGCGACGGGATGCAGTGCGACGTCGCGGAAATTACGGGCCGTCCAGCTTATGCGTCGGCCGCGCCGCATCATTATCTCGTTTCGCGGAGTGTGCGCGTTCGTCTCGTCGACCCTGTGCAAACTACGCCGCGAGTATGCGCGCGGAAAACACGACCCTCGACGGATTCGTAAACATCCCTGCCTCTGTCGTGCCACGTAACAGGTAATAAGGCAGCTTCGGTTAACAGGGGCGCGACAGACGCCGGGGCCAAGTGTTTTCCACGCGAATTTCTCACGAATTCCCGGCGAAATTCAGACGAGTTTCAGACGAATTTAGGACTACGAATCTGTCCGATCTCTTTGCTCAACAACGGCCACCGTTTCGTCACCCCTGGCTGTTTCTCGAAATTGCCTCGCGGGTTCCCTCGTTTATTCGGCTCTGGGCGATCCTCGAGGACTATACCCTGTGCAAACGAAGCGTGGTTTACGAGCTGACGCGATGGAGGAACACGTAGATACTACGTTTGTCGTTGAACGATTCGCGAGAGGTAGTCACAGGCAGCCTATTAGCCCTTCGAGGACGTCTGTGTGTACTCTGCGCGGACCCTCGCGATGCCTGCCTTTGTCTAGAAAGATGTTTCAACGTCTACTAGACTGCAGTAACCTTCGAGTGGTGACGTATGTCAAATTCACTCGTGTGGCTAACGGCGATGTACGTCAGATTGCCTCAAAGTCGAATCGACTACGTATCAGTGCTGAGATCTAAGTATCTAGTAGTATACTTACAAAAATCTAGGTGTGGCGGCATTATTCTCACTTTTGCCACTAGATGGATTCCAAGTTGAAGGAGATTTCAGGATTTTTTCGCATGTTCTCGGTAAACCTCTGAGTCCCCGCTTCCTACATATAGAACTTCCAGATTACACAATAGTATCCCCATCTGAGACAGGGCCTACTTGGTAGCCATATCGATGAGTCCATTAGCAGAACCTGGGTCAAACGCATCCCTTCCTTTTCCCTTCGTCTCTTCTAGCACCACTGTCGTTATCCCCATCTGAGACAGGGCCTACTTGGTAGCCATATCGATGAGTCCATTAGCAGAACCTGGGCCAAACGCATCCCTTCCTTTTCCCTTCGTCTCTTCTAGCACCACTGTCGCATCCAGGATACCTGAGACCTAATCCACAACAGCAACGGTTGGGGAGGACCCCACACTAGGTATCTAATAAAATACAACTCTGGGGGTCCTTCCTCGCAGTTGCTGAAGTCGGTTGCTACGGTAGGTATCCTCAATATTTCAGTGATGCTGGAATAGACTGGGCTTGCTAGTGGACTGATCGGTAAGGCTACCAGCAGGCTCTGCCTTAGACTGGAGATACTACTGAAAAGTCTGAAGACCTGCGAGAAAGTCCCCAAACCTTTCTGAACTTGGAATCCATCTAGTGGCGAGGGTGAGAATGATACCGTCACACACCAAATCGACGTCATGTCGATTCATTACCAACGATACGCAGTCAATTTGACTTCCAGTCACCATTACCGATAGGGAGTCAATTCGACGCGTTGCCACTTGTATTGTGAAGCGGTCACCACTGGAAGGCTAACGATAAGCAAAATTATCGTTGACGAATTAGGTACGTTTGATTAGATGGCGGTCGCCTTGCACTCGCGGTCAGAGGGACTCTATCAGCTTCCACTCTGCTAGGTAGCCTGAGCCAAGAGTAACCTCTCTCGCATACCTTTCGACAGGAATCATACGTCGTTCTGGAAGGGTGGAAAGACTAGGATCGAGCTAGCGAACCCTGAAAATCGGGGGTGCTCTTGATCGAGGGGAATCCATTTTAATCGGGCGAGGAGAAGCATCGCCGGTAGATCGTTTCAGCGATTCGTAACGCGCCATTGTTCGTGGAATAAAGTCGGGACGCGCGTGTATCCGAAGGAACAAAAGGGTTGGCCTGGCGATCCGTGACCAGAGCTCGGCTATCCGGAAGCGGGCTGAAAGTAGGAAGCGAGGCGTGGGAATTGCGCGTCGGGCGTCTTAACGTTTCATGCATAGAGAAGCGATCTTGGTGGTGGTGGTTGGCAGCGTCGGAGCGGAAGGGGCGGGGGAATGAAAGGGAGAAAAAATAAGACGGAAATGGGACCGGAGATAGAGACGTCGCGAGGAAACGTCCGAACGTCTCGCGATCGCGTAATCTCCGTCGGCTCTCGTCGACGCGTTCACCTAGCCGAGCAGGTAGATCTGAACCGTGACAAAGTTGCGGAGAAACGTGCGATTACCCACGGGTCCGTTGGCGAGGCGTTCGATCCCGAGGTGTCCCTAGACGCCTGGCTGCTCGATTCGCGAGTGATCCAAGTCAGCCGAGCGGAGAGATAGAACGGCAAGGATCGAGCGATCGATCGACGGCGGGACGACGATTTCTAGCGGAATCGTGGATATCGCACTGCCGGATGCGATTCTCCGTTTCTCGCGTGGGTCTCGCGGGGGTGCGTGGTGGCGCGCAAACACGGAACCGAGTATCGAGCCGGGGTGGTGGAGGGTGTGCGAGCGGACGAAAATAGATGGCGGCGACTGTGGCGATCGAACGTAAGGAAAAAAAAGGGAAAAGATGGGTGAGAAAGGGAGAAATAGGGAGAATTAGACGGAGAGAAGAAGGGCGAAGTGTAAAAGAGAGAGAGAGAGGGAGAGGGAGGAGTAAAAATAAGACAGGGTTGTAGGGGAGAGGGAGTGAGAAAAATAAGAAATGAAAGGAGGAGATCGATGTTGTATTGAGAGACGAAATGACGTGTGTGTTCCAGCAGCATCCGAACGCGACGAACAGTAGCGAGACGAGCGTGGGTGGCGTGTCGGGTGCATGCGGAAGCAGCGGCATACCGGCGGGTGGAGAGGCCGGGTGCAGCAGCAGAGGTGGCAGCAGCAGTGGTGCCGGTGGCACGGCCGGACAGGGCTGCGAGCAGGGAGCCCACGGTGGCTCCTCGTCTCATTCCAGGGAGAGCCACGCCAAGTTCAGGCACGGCTTGCTACAGCTTATGATCCACACGATCGATCCGCTCCACGACGGTCAGTCCCGCGCCGGTATACCAACTCCACACTCTATCACTCTCGCTTGCCGCTTTGCCTTAGCGCTGACAGCACGCTCTTAGCTGGTAGACCTTATATTTTACCATACTTTTTCTTCTTCTTCTCTCTTTTCTTTCTCTTTTTCTTTCTCTTTCCTTTCGTTTCTTTCTTTCTTTCTTTTAGATCCACCGATCCACGGGATCTCGAGAAGATCCCGCGTATTTTGCCCGCGCCACGCGGTGAAAATGCTCGAGAGTGGCTTCTCCGCGCTGTCGGTAACCCGACCCGTGGCTGGGAAATCGCGACCGACCGCAAAACTCGGGAAAGCTTTATCGGATAAAGTGCTTTTAAATGTTAGAGTCACGGGGCGCTTATGAGGACACCTCCGGGGACAGCGTTCTCTCGGTCTTTTTCCCTCTGACGATCGACAGGGCGGGCCTTAACCCGGTGAAACGTATCGGGTGACGTTCCGCGTTCGCGAAACACCGGGACGGGGATGTTTCGGGGAAATAAAAATAAAACGCAAACTTCCGTGGATGTAGTCCGTCGATTGCTTTACCGAACTAGCTACGTTGATCAACCGTCCCGGCGAGTGCCCGACGAGATGGAATTTAAAATTCTGATCGAAATATATTCAAATCCGGGGTAAGTCTTTGGAAAGACCTTGGTAGCGTAACTCGTTTAACCTACATACGGGCGCCATTTCGTTTCTGCCTCGTCTCGGTCTTTTGTATCTGGCACGACTTTTTGTATCGAACGGCTCTTCCCTCGCACGCGACTCGCCGCGTTAAAGTTTGGCAAACAAGCGTGGAAACGGGATAGTAGCGTTTGCGTTGTTGCTCGTCTAGCTGTAGTACTGGTTTGTTGCATGACCGATCACTGTGTATTCCGCTGCGTCGGACGGAGTAATTAAACGTTGCTGGTGCGATAACGAGCCAGAAGTTCAATGTCGTGCACCTTGTGCCTGGGGCCTGCGTACGGTGCACCGTTGCCTGTGCACGAATCGCTTGGAAATCAGTAGAAGCACTGCCGCTACGGTCGGACCGCTCCTCCGAGGCTATCGATGCCTTCGCGGCGCCTCGACGCCGCTCGATACGCGCCGCGACGCGACGCGTGCCGTTCCTCCGCTCCGAGTCCGAGGATTACCGAAAACCTTGGACACGAGAAAAACAACCGCGACACCTGGCTAACGCGTCTATCCTCGCATCGATCAGCGATCGCCGCGTCGGATTAGACGCGATTCGCGACGCTGGCTGGTAAATAAATGATAATACGAGCTCGTTTAACCCCCGACGCTCTGTCCTCCGCGCGTATTTATAGCGCGTAGCCTCGTCGCGGGAAAAAATCCACTCCGGGATCCTATTTTTCATAGCGCGCTAGCCTGTCGCGTCTACCACGGATGAAGCGATAACCGGCGTTCCTGGAAATCGCGCGGTTTCCGCTCCGCGAGAACCGGAGGAACGATCCCGATCGCGGTAATTACCCGCGTCTCCGGCCACTTTGCTCCATCTCCGCGGGTTACGATTGACCCACAAATCTACGAGAGGATCGCGCGCGGATTTCGCGAAAGGCGATTCGCCTCCGTTTATCGCGGATATAAAAGCCGTGCGACCGAGTTCCCGGCGTCTCGCGAAGCGAGATCGAGCATCGTAAATTCCTTTACGGTCGCACCGTCCCGCGAGAAATTCTCGTCGATCGATCGATCGATCGGCCACCCTGCCGACCGAGGAAAAATCGTTACGTGTTGGATCGCGTGCATTTTCGGCCGCGTCGAGATTCGTACGAGTGTCTGCGCGCGAGTATTAACCGGTGGCGAAACCGGTCGCGGAGATCGCGGTGGCGTGATCGATAGGGATCTCGGCCCGGAGGGTAGCCCCGATAATCTCGACGTTGGAATTGATTTTCGTGCACGTACGTACGTGTACCGTGGTCGCTTATATAAATGGGTCAGGTCACGCGCGAATGCAAAGAAAAGGGCGATCATCAATTAGACGACTCTTTCGCGGATGGCCCCGTTGCGGGTTAACCCTCGCCGCGCGAACGCTACCCCGTTGCCCTAATCGCGCTATGGGGTTCAACCCCGCGTTGATAATTGGGCTTTCGCGTTTGGGTGGATTCGAGGAAACTTCGCGAAACTTTCGCATTTTCGCGTTTGTTTTCGGGGAAATCGACAGGGGCACGAGGGAGAGTGCGAGCATGGGGGTTATGTCCGAGAGAATCGACACGACGAACCCTAGTTGGAAAATAGGGGTTAGCTTTGGGTCAACTGGATGAACCGGTTCACCGTTCTAAAGGACACTCTCCGCGAGAAAATCGGGACACCCGTTATGCGGTCGTTATTTCGAGGATAATTCCGCGAGATGGCTCCATTCTCGTTTAAATCTGTCGATCGACGCTGTATATCTTCCACCCTCGCTCCTTTTTCCCCGGTCGCGAGAACGTGGCCGCGAAAGGACGTCGTTAATCTCGATTGCGTGGGAAACGTTCGATTTCCCGTCGATATTCGCCAACTGCGTGTGCGCGAGTGAGCGCGCGCGCACTCACCCCTATGCGCGTAGCCGCGAAAGTCGAGCGATCTAGTAGCGGAGATCCGTGATTTGTGCGGCTCGCGCGAGGAGCAGCCTATTTCCCTGGTATCCCGAGTTACTCGCTGCCTCGGTCCGAGTTTCCTTTCTTCTTTTCCCCTCGATTTTCCGCGGCACACTCGCGAGTCAGCGAGACAGAAGGGCGAGGGTGAGGAGCATCGGCAATGACAACGCAACGACGACAGCGCCGATTCCAAGCCGGATGGTTGGCTTCGAATGAATTTGCGGGACGCGTTTTCAGCGTGTATCCCTGAGTAGCGGTGAGTGGCGAGTATGTATCGGGACCCTGACCTAGAAAGCCGCGGGTATCGATCGTAACTAGCGAATCCACACTTGGGGCTCGCCTTCCTTTTCCCTTCCTTCCACTCTGGGCCTTTAACGTCATCCAGACATCGTTACCGTGGATAATATTCCAAACTGGTAACCATCCTGCTGTGGGTCCTCTGACGGAGGCTGACCAGTCGCCAACCCCTGTCCCGAAACGCTGCTAACCTGCAGTCTGAGGCCTCCAGCGAGTCCCGCGATCGACGAACATCGCGATTTTCGTCAGAGACGTCCTCCAGATAGTCTCCAATCGCGTTCGTTTGCTTCCTAGGGACTGAGATCGCGACGTCCAGGAACGAAATTTAGGGAAATAGCTTAAAATATCGCAGACATCGAACGCGTGGAGGATCGCCGAGTCTTTAATTGTTTTTAATTATGTACATGCGTGGAATTTTTTCCCGGTCAGAGTTAAACGCGAAATCCAGAAAGTGGAGCTGTAGGTGGAGTTTATTGACAGGACGGAGGATCTATAACGAGGCTCGTTCCCAGGCACGTATTTAAGGTGCAGAGCTAGTCGCGTTGGAGTGGTTTTCTCCGAAGTAGCACTCTCCGTACGTCACTCGTCGTCGTCGTCGACGACATCGACGTCGGAACTCGTCCCAATTGAACGCGTTATTTATAATGAACGCGGTGCACCAGTTTGTTAGGTTTTTTAATAACTCTCGGAGAATAGGGCGTAGATGAGCGGCATCGTGGCGGAAGGCCAATCGAAATCCCCCGTGACGTTTCTATATAGCCGACAGTCATTTTATCGAAAATCCCTGCCCCTCTGCCCGCCGTTCCCGCGGCTACAGTCGCGATTACCAGCCTCCGTTGGGAATGATATCAACAAATTGGGCCGCGTTGCTTCGATTCCACGTCTCTCCTTTCCAACTCGCGTCCCGCCATGATTTACCTTAATTCCGCGCCATTCGGTTCATAGTCTTCGTGCCGCGTTCGTATAAGAGGAGGAACGCTTCTAGAGTTTGTCCTAAATGTCAGTCTGCGCCCCCGATTTTCCCCGGTTCGCGTTCTTCCCTGCTCTTGGCTGGTCGGTCGAAGCAGCAGCGCGGAAATGGGTGGCCGCTTTGTCTTCGTGCACCGAAAGGATCACGGTAACGAAGATAACGCGTGTTCGATGGCGTCGAAAGTCGAGCAGAGGCATCGAGGACTCGCTGACCTTCGCGAAGGCAGGTTGAGGCAACCGCGAGTCATCCATCACGTCGGCGTTTGCATTACAATTATCTGCTAGCCGCGTCTGATCCTTCACACGCGAGAACCCTTGCGAGAATCCGACACCGAAAGGGCTCGATATCGACCGACGCCGTTCGTGTCTTCGACGTTGCGCCGTTTTTCGCCTCGGTATCGCGCGCGTACCCCATTAGTCTCCCGGGGTAATCTCTGCCGCGTCACCTCTGAATATTTTTCCCGCTTTTCCCCCATTTTTCCTCGATTTTTTCCGTTTCCTCGAAGGAGACTCGGAATCGGATTTTATAGCGGTCGTTGTTTCGCCGCGCCGACGTCGTCGATATCGTCGACGCTTGCTACTGACGCGCGCGTACCCCGTTAGTATCGCGGGTAATCTCTTCCGCGTCGCCTCTAAATATTTTTCCCGGTTTCCCCCATCTTTTCTCCATTTTTTCCGCTTCGAAAGGAGACTTGTAGTCGGATTCCATGGCGATCGTTGTTTCGCCGCGTAGACGCCGTCGATATCGTCGACTCTTACTACTGACGCGCGCGTACCCCGTTAGTCTTGCGAGTAATCTCTGCCGTATCGCCTCTAAATATTTTTCCCGGTTTTCCCCCATCTTTCCTCGATTTCTTCCCCTTCCTTTCTTCGAAGGAGACTCGGAATCGGATCTATGGCGGTCGTTGTTTCGCCGCGTCGACGTTGTGGCTATCTTCGACTCGTACTACTGACGCGCGCGGTGCTACTTTTCACCGGGAAATTACCATCGCCGCCTTCTTCCTCCGTTCGTCTCGAGAGCTCATCTTCGCGGCCGTAAATGGAAACACGGGGAAGTTGGTAGCGATACCTAGAGCCGGGTTTAATTTTCCGGATAATGCGCCGAACGACGCCGGAAGACAACGGAACTCGTTATCCAGCGACGTTGGCCATTCGGAATTTAAAGGAAGATTAACTCCGGCGACGGGAAAGAGAAAGAATCATCGAAACGCACGCCAGGGCGTGGAGCCGCGACGATCTTTCATCCGATCAGATCTCGCGTCGCTGGTCCGTTAAGGAACTTAACGACCCTTGATTTAGGAGCCGCTCCACCATACCGGCGGCAAAGAAACTTACTTTGCTAAACTGCAGGATAACGGAACTTCAAAGATACCGGTCTCGACTACCATCTCCTCGCAACTGCCGACGCAACTTGTTTTTCACGGCAAACTTTCCACTCGCCTCGTACTTTTACGCGCCTTCTCCGCCGGTATTACCTTCTCCAGTCGCGCCGGAGGAGGACGAGAGCGGAGAGAAAACGAAGGGAATGAAATTCTTGCTTATCCCGGATGAAATTGTCTTCGCAGCTATACGAGATGAAGCGAGTCTAGAAACGTGTTATCTCGTTTTTCCCCGTGGCTGACCTTTCTCGCGCCAGCCATCTCACATCCGCCGAGCGTGCGGATACTCGTTTCATCGGAGAAACGGTTTTATGGTCGCGGCAAGGACGCGCCGATCCGTATCTTCCTTCTTAACAATCTCTCCACTCTGTGTCCTCCCTCTTTCCCGTATTTATCGCGCACATTTCACCGTTTCGCCGATGAAAACAGCGCCCGTTCGCGCGCGAGCCTTCGACGAAACTCCTCCGACCGATTCGAGTTCGAAAACGCGGCGCCGGTTCCATTTAATTGTTCTCGAAACCAAAGCGTCCGCTAACAAACCTAGACTGGTCGAGCTTTGTAGGTTAATAGGTAGCACTTTGGCCGACCTACGCGGGATTATTCTACTCGATTCGCCGCGCTCCTCTCTCTCTCTCTCTCTCTCTGTCCCTCCTTTCGCTGGCCTGCTCCGCTTTCCCACCGCGAGTACCGGAAACGACCCGTTCTTTTTCCTACTTTAACCAAATTAACACCACTCTTCCTGCCCGACTCGCCAACTTGTTCGTTCCTTCCTTCGACCCAGCGCGAGTCAGCTCGACGTCGTCGATCCAAGTTTCTTCCCCCGACGATTTCATCGATTATTTCGCGACGCGTTTCGCGGCGAGAGTGGCAGGAAAGGCTAAGGATAAAGAAAATTACCAAAGCCCCCGACTGTTGCAAACGCGACGGACTCGGTCTCCCTTGTTCTCCGAGGCTCCTCCCTTTCGCGCAATCCTACCTTATACACCTCTCCATCTCGCTCGAGGCGGCTCGGGGGTCGATACTTTCATCGCAGTCCGTCTCGTAGCCGACGGCTGCTCGCCTTTCTTTTCTCGCCTCGTTTCTAGCTTCGAGAATGAAGGCCACTCACCACAGCTTTTTTCCTCTTTGACCTAGTGCTACCAGCGCGGACACACGCGATTGGTCGAAGCTAATCGCCAAATTACGTCTTCTTCCTCTCTCTCGCGGCCTCCTCTTCACACACCGGTCTTTTCTCCGCTCTTTTCTTCCCTCCTTTCACCGACGCCAATCAAAGTTTCGCAATATTTCATGCGTTCATTCAGCCCCGGGACACGGGACCAAAATGGTACCAAAAGGAACCATCCTCTTTTTCCCTTTCTTTTCACTTTTCCTTTTCCTTTTCCTTCTCGACTCGCCGTTTTTCCTCGCGTATCTATCACGCGCGCACCACGCAATTCCTCCAACGGACGCGTTCCTCCAACGACGGCCTAGTTAGATTAAAAGAAATTAAGCGTGAGATCGGCGTTGACAGGTCCGGCGATTCGAGCGACGAATTCGATTGCGAGCGGCTCGCGTTCAAATATTCAAGGGGACCACGTCGGGCGAAGCTTTTTTCCTGCTCTTGGTCGGCAGGTTGATCGATAAGCTCGGCTAACGATGTGTCTAAAACGGAGAAACTCGTTCGCGTACGTATCCGACGTGTGCCGCGCGTGGAATATATTTTACGTGTATAAAACTGCAGGAAAAGGGGGCAGCAGGGTGGGTCGGGGCGCGGAGGAGATAGAGAAACGAGATAAATAGCAAATGAGGTGGCCTCCGGCTAGACAGATACTTTCATATCGCGCCGACTTTCAGTGTTCTTCTCGCCATTCTTTCCCGACCCGTCGAGCTTCTTCTTTGACCTAGTATCGCGCGAATAAGCGCAGGATCGACTTCGCGACCATAACCCGAGCCGTGCTAACGAATTCCGCTCTTTCCACCGCAGTTCTCGATGCTCGATGCTGATTATCGCGGTTACAGGGTCGACCGAGAGGCGAGAACCGAGGCGGTGCTCGAAGCACGAGGAGCGTGGGAATTTGCTCGCGAGAGCTTGGGAAAATATTTCACCGCGCCGAGGTTGCCTTCTCCTCGTGGGCCCAAGAGGTAATTTATACACGGGACGCGATCCTTGTCCATTACGGATTCCGTTTTATCCTTCTCGAGCCAGACGAGAGCCAGTCTTTGATTTTTCACTCGCCGTTACCGAATTCCGAAAATTCGCAAGGAACGAGACGATGACGGCGAACTCTGGACAGTGTTCTTTAATATTTAATCCTAATTATTAGAACGAAGATTCGAGTCTCGGACTCGCGATGCCTCGTTAAATTTGTAGAATCGAAACTTGCCGGAAGTTCTTTGACGATTTGCAAATTTCCTAGCGGGATTGTTAAGTTTATGGAATTGAAACGTCCCTGGGAATGGGGGGATAAGTGTGGCGAGAAATGAAGAGCGACGTGGGTCGCGATGCTCGGTCATTAGGAATTCCTCCGTGCCCCTCTGTGTTCTCGATTTCCGAGTTTTAATTTAAATATTACCACGGGGGAGAAGAATTTTCGGAATTTTTCCATTTCCTAATATTTCCTGATATATTCCGACGGACAGAGACACGTCGCCTCGTATCCTCGAGAATTCCCAGCATCCTCGGCCGATCGCGAGTTGCCTCGTCTTAACGATAGCCAAACAGCGCGGAGTGGAGTTTGATTCCGGCGTGAGATCCGTCCCCGTTCGCTATTAATTAAGGTTACCCGTGGAAGAGGACGGAAAGTCACGGCGGAGGAATTAGTTCTCGCGAAGAGTGGAACAGGTCGTTGGTGGACGTGCAATTACTCGAAATAGCGGCGCGTTAACGAAGGGAACGGACAGGACGGGCGTTTCCTTGGAAATCCTAATCGCTGGTGCTCCCTCGAGCCTCTCTTCGCGGGGACGCTGAATCGCGAAGCGGTTCGAGCGTAATTCTGTGGGGGTCCTTCCTTGCCGAGTCGTTAAAGGACGCTAGGAAAAAAAGGAAGGGATGCGTTTCGTCCTGGGCCTGCTAGCGGACTCATCGGTGAGGCTACCCTTAGACACTGGGATACTATTGGAAGGATGAAAATTTTCTGTATATTGGATCGTGAGGTTTTCCGAGGACTTGCGAGAAAGTCGGAATCCACCTAGCGGTGAGGGTGAGAACGATGTTCGCTACAATTCTTACCTTGGACGCGCCTGTAAGGAAAGATAAAAGCCTGTAAAGAATCTCTCGGACGTTGCAACGTTGATCCCCTCGCTGTAATTCTCTTAAACGCGATTTACCAGCCGACGTAGTCGGTCGCGACCGCATCGGTGCCCGATAATCCGATCGCGCGTCGATCGAGGGATCTCTAAGCTCGTTAGGCCGCTCGCGCGACAAACGACTCGAAGACCCGGCTCCAAGTTCCCCTCGCGAAACGGTAATTCGTTAACGACCTTTTACCTACCGGCTGTCGACTGGTGGAATTCCGCGAGGATCCGTCCGCGGATCGTTAGCGGTTCA